TTTCCGAATTGTGTTGCCTTAAATTTTTGTATTGTTGAAGGAATCTTATGCGACGAAGACAGATTTTATTGTTTGGTTTTAATTTCGAAAATTTTATTCAGCTATTTTATATGCACTTATTCATTTTTTTTTCTCGTAAATATAATGGCCTTTGTTGTTAGCTTCATTTCCAAAATAACGTAAACCAATCATTTTTAAAATTACGAGTATACAAACTGTTATTGAGCTGTTTTGGATGCGGGTTGACTCAATGATAAAGCTCTGGATTTTTGTGTGTGCGCTATAAGAGTGACAGTAAATACGTTAACGTGGATGGTGGTAGTGTTTTATCTATCTTATCAAAAACTTGTTCTATTATAAATAATTATAAGACATTCTCATTTTTTAATTTATTTACTTTTTTATATTTGTTTTGAATCATAAAAAAAATGTTCTCATGCAGGTTATATACATTAGTAAATTTATAGATTCGAGATTTGACGAAACTGTGAAAAATAATAAAGATACAGTTAGTTTTCGTTTGACTGATCCATGATTGGACATATATACACACAATGTGTATTGTTATTAGTTCTTGACTGACACCCTTTGGGACTGACACGTGGTGTGTTCTTGCATGATGTTGTTGTCGTGGTTACTGACCCATGATATGTATTGTTATTAGTTATTGACTAGCACCCTTTGGGACTGTCACGTGGTGTGTTCTTGCATGATGTTGTTGTCGTGGTTACTGACCCATGATATGTATTGTTATTAGTTATTGACTAGCACCCTTTGGGACTGACACGTGGTGTGTTCTTGCATGATGTTGTTGTCGTTGTTACTGACCCACGATACGTATTGTTATTAGTTATTGACTAGCACCCTTTGGGACTGACGTGGTGTGTTCTTGCACGATGTTGTCGTTGTTACTGATCCATGATATGTATTGTTATTAGTTCTTGACTATCACCCTTTGGGACTGTCACGTGGTGTGTTCCTGCATGATGTTGTCGTTGTTACTGACCCATGATATGTATTGTTATTAGTTATCGACTAGCACCCTTTGGGACTGTCACGTGGTGTGTTCTTGCATGATGTTGTTGTCGTTGTTACTGACCCATGATATGTATTGTTATTAGTTATTGACTAGCACCCTTTGGGACTGTCACGTGGTGTGTTCTTGCATGATGTTGTTGTCGTTGTTACTGACCCATGATATGTATTGTTATTAGTTATCGACTAGCACCCTTTGGGACTGACATGTGGTGTGTTCCTGCATGATGTTGTCGTTGTTACTGACCCATGATATGTATTGTTATTAGTTATCGACTAGCACCCTTTGGGACTGACATGTGGTGTGTTCCTGCATGATGTTGTCGTTGTTACTGACCCATGATATGTATTGTTATTAGTTATCGACTAGCACCCTTTAGGACTGACACGTGGTGTGTTC